TCCCTTCTCCTTGGAGAGAGCTACAGGTGACTTAGAATATCACAAAATACCATGTAATTAAGCTGATTATAGCTCTGTTGATGCAGGATGTCAGCAATTTAAATCTTGGGGTTAGGTGGCTGTGAGGATAAACAACAGGTATTCTCTAGAAATGGTTAACTGTGTAGGCTTAGGGTCAGGAGATTTACGTTCAAGTTCTAGCTTCTCCCTTTGCCCACTCTGTGACCTTGAGCAAGTACTTATGATCTCTGAGCCCTGACTTCTTGTCAGTGAACTGGATGTAATACTACCCACTTCAACAGGTGTCTTTGAGAGGCACTAAGAGAATGCCTGTGAAGTACAACTACAGTACCTGGTATGTCATAAGGACTCAAAAACTGCTGGCTGGTGTTTTTTCACCCATTATTCAGTGTGATATGGCTATGCTTCTAAGAGAGAAAATCCATTACATAACCTTTTTGTGTATTGAAATCCTAACCCCCCAGCACCTCAGTGTGTGACTCTGTTTGGAGATGTGGTCATTAAGGAGGTAATTAAGGTAAAATAAGATCTTTTGGGTGGACCCTTGTCCACTATAACTGGTGCCCTTCTAAGACGAGGAAATTTGGACGCACATCTGCCCAGAGGAAAGGCCATGTGAAGACAGAGGGAGAAGACAGTCATTTGAAACCGAGGAAACAGGCCTCAGAAGAAACTCACCCTCCTGACACTGATTTTGGACTTCTGGCCTGAAGAACTGTGAAAGGAAACACTTCTGTTGTTGAAGCCTCCCGGTCTGTGATACTTGGTTATGGCAACGCTAACAAACCAATACGCCCACTCTGCCTTATGCTCCTTCTTGGTCTTTTCAGCAAACACTTTGACGCTTACTGGGTTCCAGGCTCTGAGGTCACAAAGAACAACACAAAGTCTTCACACTCATGAGGCATGTATACTACTGTAACGTGCAAATAAGATCATTCCTATCAACAGTGCAAAGGCCCCTGAGCATGACCATTGAGGGACTAGAATGAAGGCCTGCACAGATGGAGTGGGTTGGTGAGAGAGAAAGGATGTGAGATAAAGTAGGGAGAGGAAACAGAGTGGACACAGGCCATCAACTACAAGTTTGTATGTGAGATTGATTTATGGAAAGCCAGCACTAGAATTCAGTCCCTCTGACCTCCTGGCCACTGCTGTCCTTATAAACACCATCATGATTCTTGTTGAGTGGATCCATGAGCGTGGGGTGCTCTGTGAGACACCCATCTTCCTTCAGGGAAGAAGGATTATTCCCTCAGGAGCTGGGAATGGTGCTCAAAGACAGCCTTCTGTCGTCAGCCCACACTGGGGACTGCATTAACTGAGGAAAACAACCTTGCCTTATCATGCTTGCTTCCTAAGTCATGCCTCCCTCGGGAGTTGCTGCAACTCAAGGCAATTCAGAAGGACCAGTGCATGTTCAGAGCTGCCCGTGAGATTGGTTGAGACCTTTGTTGGGTCTGCCTTGCCGGTGAGTTCTCCCTCGGTCCACTCCTACCTCTGTGGTCTCCTTTCCAAGAGCACTACCTAAGTAACATCTTGCTGCGAATCTCCATCTCAGAATCTGCCCCTTGAGAGCCCCACCTATGACAGTGTCCCTACTGAACACCACGCCTGGATGAACTAGCAAATACAGAAGATCTTCAAGGCCTCCAAATTGGAGGATGGGTGTGTGTCGGGCAACCGTGAAACAATGAGACATGGGATTTGGTTTTGGAGGAGACCGTGACCCCACTTGGACAGTCCTCTCTAAGTGGTCCCTTAGGCAGGGGCTACCACCCTGTATCTGTAGCTCCCGGTGCCTGGGCCAGTGACAGGTGCCTGACCGAAAGGCAGTCCTCTATGGGCCGGCCAGGGGCCCGAGAAGATGGTCTTTCGCAAGGGCTCTAACAGATGGCATTTGTCTACCTCTCCAGACTCTTCCTGCAATGTGCTCTTCTCCACCTTCCCTTTCTAGTCATGCTGGCTTCCTGAAGCTTCTCCTTCCCTAAGACACTTCACATGCTATTTCCTCTCTGAAGCAAGCCACATTCCTACACCATCACCTCCGCCCCCATCAGCAAGTGACTACTTGTCCTTCTTCTCTCCTAAAAGTCACATCACTAAGGAACCAATCCCTTGCAACTCTCTGACTTGATGCTCTTTGTAGCTTCCTTCATGACACTTACGCCAGTACTGTAACCTAGGTTTACAATATGGTTACACTAAACCTCTATTGTTTGATTAATGTCTGTGAGGTGCACCAGGCTGTCAGCAATGTGTGAGTAGGCTCCGGTTCTATTTTGCTCACATCTTTATTCTCAGTCCCTAGCATGGTGCTTGGAGCACAGGGAGCACCCAGTAGTATTTGTTGAATAACCACCAGAGATCTTACTGAATGGTGGATGAATGAGGCAAGTCAGTTCCTGTTTCTTTAGAAGTTTATGTTAGAAAAATACATACAGAAAGAGTCAGAGTTCGTAAGGATTAGGCTGGAGCAGCAGTTCTCAAAGTATGGTCCAGGGACCCCTGGAAGTCCCTGAAATCTCTTCAGAAGGGCGACGAAAATCAAACCTACTTTCCTCTTACTCTAAGATATTATTTTTCCTGGGGCCCCTGGGTGGCTTAGTCGGTTAAGCGTCCGACTTTCGCTTGGGTCATGATCTCGCGGTTCGTGGGTTCGAGCCCCACGTCGGGCTCTGTGCTGATTGCCAGCTCAGAGCCTGGAGCCTGTTTCAGAGTCTGTGATTCCCTCTCTCTCTGGCCCTCCCCACCTCATGCTGTCTCTATCTCTCTCCTAGAAATAAATAAAACATTAAAAAAAAAGATATTATTTTTCCTTCTGTCACTCCCATTCCCTCATGAGTGTACAGACTATGAAAAGTTCAGGCCACCTGGCTGGCTGAGTTGGTTAAGCGTCAGACTCTTGATCTCAGCTCAGGTCCTGATCTCAGGTTGTGAGCTCAGGCCTCATGTTGGGTTTTAAGTAGGACATGGAGCCTACTTAAAAAAAAAAAAAAAAAAAAAAGAATAAGAAAAGTTCATTTTTTGTTTCAGATTCCACATTGTTATCTAATCTTTAACAAAGTACCCCTTGTCAAATTTTAGAGTGATATCGAAAAAGAATATCCACAACTCCATGAAAAGTTTATTAAGATATCCCTCTCTTTTCCAATGAAATGTATCTCTTGTGAGCTGGGTCTTCTTTATACACTTTAACTAAAACAACATATGGCAATGTATTAATGGAGAAGCATGTATGAGAATTCAGCTATTTCTTCTCTTTAAGTTTTTTGATGTTTTTATTTATTTTTGAGAGAAGAGAGGGAGACAGAGCATGAGCAGGGGAGGGGCAGAGAGAGAGGGAGACACAGAATCCAGAGCAGGCTCCAGGCTCTAAGCTGCAGCACAGAGTCTGACGTGGGGCTCAAACTCATGAACCAGGATATCATGACCTGAGCTGAAATCGGAAAGTCAACCCAGGAGCCCCAAGAATTCAGCTATCTCCTAATAAGCCAGACATGGTAAGGGAATTGAAACAATGTGAAACAGTGCCACACTCCTCACTAAAGATATTGCTTTGAAAAATAGTTCTTTTTCATAAAATATATTATTTCTATTAACTTGTCACAGGTTTGTTATTAGTTTTATGAAGTAACAATTTAAAATTTTTTCCAATTTTAATTTCCAGGCTGATAAATATCAATACAAATAATCCACGTATGCATAAGCTCTTTGAGGTCATTAATAAATTTCAAAAGTGCAAGCAAAGGGTCTTGAGACCCAAAAATTTAAGACTTGCTGGGGTCAAGTATTTCTGAGAATTCTTTTGGATGCCAGACAGATACTCAACTCAAGCAGCCATAAGCCAAAACCTGTCTTTCTTCCTCTCTCGTTCTTTCTCCCCTTAGTGTTTTCTTCTTGCTCAGCTTTCCCCAGAAGAAGATAACAATGACCATCAGCAGCTCCAGGTTTACACTGAATTAACTTAGGAAACTCAGTATATTTTTGCAACTAGTTCCAGCAAAAGCCCATGCACACTCTCCCTGGGCTGCCTCCCATCAAGTTTCCACCTGGAAGCCCATCACCACGACTATGGTTCATCCCTGGAATGGTGAGTTGTGTGTGAGTCTTCAGTGAACCGTGGGAACTGAGAAGGGTGATCCATCACAGAAACTCAGAAAGTTTTTACCACGAGAAAGGAAATGACGGGCGGTGACAAATCAGCAAACAACATTTGTGATTTGGGGAAGGTATGAGTAGAAGGCTGAGGAAATCAGAAGAAGTTCTATCCAAAGAGGATTAATAACGAGTAGACTTTAAGGACTTTAAAATCCTGAATAAATAAACATATTCTCTTTTCTCTCAAATCTCTGCTCTTATTTCCGTTATCATCCGCAGCAGTTGTTGGAAGGAGCATTCTAGAAAAGAAGACAGTAGACAGAGGTGAGGGGAACAAGGAGAGCTGGGCTGAGAGATAAATGTTAGTACATGATGGGTAGTGGGAGGTGTTCCCTGCTTCCTGTTCTTGTCCCAGCTGAGTGGCCCTGGTGATGACAGAGTGACTGTGCTTTGTGCTGATTGGATATAAGCATCTCCAGTATTTGGGGGGGTTCTTTTGTCACCTTCCAACACAAACTGAGCCACCTTTCATGACTTCACCTCCAAACCTAGCTCTCTTGAGTCCTGTTCCCTCTAGCTTATGATCCACATAAGGGGACAATGAGGAAGAATAAGGTAACAATACTGGAATTTGGAAGGAAGACTTGGGGCTGAGAGTCCTCTAGTATTTCCCAAATAAAGACATGGATAAAGTTGCCTGTTACTGCTCCAAAGGAGACAACTGCCCACAGAGAACGAACCCTCCATGGACAGGCCTTCACTGTGGACTTTTACGTGTGAAGGCAAGTTTAGACTTGTTCTGTGCGGATCCAAGACAGGAGAGAGGACCAGGGGTGGAAAATACAGGCACACAGATTTTATCTCAGTGTAAAGGAAAATGCTCCAGAGAGTGGTCCAGAGCTGGAATGGGCTGCCTCACGTGTGTGTTTTGAGGGAAAGGGTCACTTACCTGCTAATTCACAGCCTCATTTTCTTCAAGGTTATCAGTCTTACAGGTGCTGAAAACCAGAATACAAGGTAAGCACAAGATAAATTATTATTTACTCTGAAGAGCTCCTTCTCTTCCTTCCTTCCTTCCTTCCTTCCTTCCTTCCTTCCTTCCTTCCTTCCTTCCTTCCTTCTTTCCTCCCTCCCTCCCTCCCTTCCTTCCTTCCTTCCTTCTTTCCCCCCCTCCTTCTTTGAGGGTCAATACTTCATTTTGGTGTAAAGACAGGAATCTGGAAAAGACATTGTTTTGAAATTTTCTTGGTTGTCCCTCACATTATGGAGACCCTTCCCCCACCTCCCTCCAGCCCCAACAGGGTTAATCTGTTCAAAATAAAATACGGACTTGTAAATTACAACAGCTATAGAAAAACAGAAGTGAAAGAAAACCAGGTGGAGAAGTCAGCCTGGGCCAGCAGGGTCACTTGCCTAAGGTGCTAAACTGGAGCTTATGTTTCTCTTTTTTCTTTCCTTCCCTCCTTCGTCTTCAGGGAGTGGGTCTGAAGCTGTGGGTGGATCCGGGTTCATGAAGGCTGCTTCAATAGCTTGGCTCATGGGATCTTGGAATCAGACAGAGACAGAGTCTGAATTGTCACTCTTCCCATTATCACTCACGGAGGAAAAAGGAACCAGGCCGTTCTCATCTTTCTTTGTAGCAGTTTTGGGCCAAACAGCTGCTTTTGCTTTTCCAGCCCTTGGCATCTAGGCAAACAAGGGAAGGGAGAGTCTTCCTTCAGACTCCTGAGGCTAAATGAGGAGTGCCCTGAGGCCATGGGTGACACGCGGGATGGGGTCAGCAGAGTCTGTGCTAAAAGGACAAAGAGAGGGGCGCCTGGGTGGCTCAGTCGGTTAAGCGTTCGACTTTGGCTCAGGTCATGATCTCACGGTTTGTGGGTTCGAGCCCCGCATAGGGCTCTGTGCTGACTGCTAGCTCACAGCCTGGAGCCTGCTTCGGATTCTGTGTCTCCCTCTCTCTGACCCTCCCCTGCTCACGCTGTCTCTCTCTCTCTCAGAAATAAACATTTAAAAAAAAAATAAAATAAAAGGACAAAGAGAGAGGGCCCCAGGGCTCAAAGAAGAGCTGAAGGAGCAGATAAAGGAATTGAAGGCAGGAAACTGTTGATGGTCTCAGAAGTGTGGACTTCTGACTACTTGCCCTGTCCTTCACTGCATTCCTCACAAGCTTTCTCCTCTTCTCAATGTTACCTGAGAACATCTCTGGGGTTTCCTCAGAGTCCTTAGGAGAGGGTCCCATTTCCTGAGGCCCAGCCAGAGAACAGCCCTGTGATGAGAGTCCCCCAACATGACCCACATGACCTCACCTATATATCTTGGACACAGCAGCCCCCATCTAAAGGACCACGGGCATGGCTAAGATATTTTAGTGCCCAGAGATTCTGATGCTTATTGTCTCTGCGTTCCTGATGCCTGAGTCTGCTAGGACCTATGTTTCCAATTCTACTACCCCAACCAGTTTTCTAAGGTTCTGGTATCTAAGAGAAGCCACTTGTGTCCCTAAGCTCTGGCCCTCTAGAAAGTGACTGATTACAACAAAAACTTGCAAATTGATGTCTTTAATATTACCACCACTCGCAGGATGATGTTGGTAAGAGTAGAAGCCTCCATTTTTTGAATACTTAGTGTCTTACAAAGAATGAGCAACCTTATATCTTTCAACAACATTATGACGTAAGTACTATTATTATGCCCATTTTACAGATTAGGAAACTAAGGTCCTGAAAAGTTAATTGAGCTTTCCAAGAGCACATAGTTTAGCCTTAAAAATGGAATTCAAGACCTAGTCTACCTGACACCAATGTCCATCATCTTGACCTTATACACACTCTTCTGCGTATTCCTTCTCATCTCCCTATGAGTCGTAAAGATAATTAAACAGGGAGATGGATGTTGGCCTCTGTGTTAGGGAAATATTAGCTACTAGAATGACCAAACCCCCAATTTCAGAGGTTTAATACAATAAAAATGTCTTTGTTGCTCATAAAACAATCTGATAAAAGCGTTCTTGTTGGCTTCCCTCCATGAGGTGCTTCAGGGAACCAAGCTTATCTCATCTCATGGCTCTGCCACTTCTTATAGACACGGAGACCTCTGCCTCCAGAAGGAAGAGGAAAGAGAAGAAATGGCACACCCTCTTCTTAACTGCCTTGCCCAGAAGTGAACACATCACTTTTGCTCACATTCTGTTAGCCAGTGCTAGTCACATGGCCTTTCACAAATGAAAGGGTGTTGGGAAATGCATTGCCTTCCTGCGTAGCCGCTTCTTAGCATCAATTGTGCACCATGGAAGAGGGAGCATAAAATGTTTGGTAAAAAGTTAGTCACCCTCTGTCCCAGCCTCAGTGACTGTAAGTTCCTTCTATCCCATAGGTTCTGTGGCTTCAAAATTTCATTTGTCTGTAAGACCTGAAAACATAATGAAGACTTGAAGGTCTTGTTAATATGACAGTATTCATGTGAGAAATGATCAAGACGGAAAAACATCCGTGGTAAGTATACTCTGTGGCCTGATGTTTTCAGCGTCTGAAACAAGCATCTGGACCTTTCTCTCCAGTCAGTGTGGTCTGTTACAGCGTTTCCATGGGAGGACAAGATGGACTCTGGAGGCAGCAGCCTCGCTTGGGCTCTGTGACTCACTGGAGAGCGGTACTCAAAGACGTGGTTTTTACATAATGTTTAGAAATAAGCATCTGAGAAGTGTGGAAACATGCCGTCCTGATTTACTCAGCTCTGTCGTTAAGCGCTGGCATTATCACCATCTGCCAAATGTAGAGGTTGTTTAAAAATGAGTCACCTGGCACTAAAAGCCGTTTCTGCACAGAGCGTCCCCCCACCACAACCCATCTCTTGGTATCAACGAAAAGTCCTTTCTGCTTGTAGGTTCTAAGACGGCTGAGAGCATGAGTCCCCCCTAGTGGCCTTTCATTATTTATCCTCCAGGGCAAAGATATCAATTTCCTTGAACCTTGTGGTACACTTGGTTTTCCAAGGATACAGAATTATGTCGCTTGGACAAAGACAATACCGTTTATTTTTTTTAATTAATTATTTATTTTGAAAGAGAGAGAAGGCGTGTGCGCTCATGTGAGCAAGTGGGGGAGGGGCAGAGAGGGAGTGAAAGAAACCCAAGGAGACGAGCTGTCAGTGCAGAGCCTGACATGGGGCTCAACCTCATGAACCCTGAGATCATGACTGGAGCTGAAATCAAGAGATGGATGCTCAACTGAGTGAACCGTCCAGGCGCCTCAAGGCAATATTATTTCTAAATTATATGAGTACTAGCTGAATTAGACTCCTTTGAATCTCGTCCCCATCTCATATTCAGTACTTCTTTGATAGCTGAAAACCTAACCAATGGGAAATACTGTGGTCAGAAACATAGTACAATTTGTCTCACTTACCCAAAAATATGCCGAGTGTCTGCCCAGTAGCTTACATACTGAAATAGAAGGTTTACTGCTATTAATATATCTTATGTTAGATGATAGAGCAATGGAAGAAGGGGAAAATTGGTTGGTATATTAACAACTATATTCATGTCAAAATAAGGTAGAATGCTCATAACTATTACACCCCTGGTTTTGCAACTGATCACGTGGTCATAGGTGATATTTATAACTTCTTCTTCTACCCATTCCATATTCCCTTTGCCTTTAACAAGTGTGTTGGTTGTGGCCCCTTGCCAAGCCCCAAACCCTCATGCCTAACCCACTTACTACTGTGTAACCCCCAAATCTGTCAGTCTTATGCAGAGTCTAGAACATAAGATCACCATACAACAGAATGAGGCAGACAATGGGATGGCGCTTAAAGTGTCTGCTGCAGAGAGAAGTTTAATAGATTTTATTTGCAGGCCCCCATAGGTGATTCACAGCAGTGAGTCTTAGGATCCAGTCACAAAGCTGTATCACCCTCTGAAGATAACTATTCTCCTTTCAAAAAGCTGCATTTGCTACTGGTCCTGACTGAAGACTGAACACTTCACCCTGATCCACAAAGTTACCTTGTGACCTGAGCTGAGCATAGGAACCAGGTGTGCTGGCCTGCTTTTCATCCCTTGTGAAATATAAGAACAGGTGTTAACCTCTAAGAGCTAAGCCAGTTTTATCACAGGGATTTCTGTGAAGGTTTGTCGGGAGACTCGAGTTATGATTCTCACAGGGGCTGCCAGCCAGCTGCATGATTTGAGCAGCCACCTTCCTCTTCTGTAAAGTAAGGGTACTCCACTCACTGAGAAGGACCAAGCAAACCTGGTATCGGGCAGGAGTCACTTGACTGGGTCTGTACAGCAAGAGGCATCCTCAACAAGGAGTTCTCCAAAATTGTTGCTAAGCCCAGGTGGGCCCGTTCCTCTCTTGCATGATTTCTTATTATCTTTAATATTCTACTGAGCACGTGGTAGGCAGGCAAGTAGAACATCTGTGAGAACATACACATTGTTTCCCAAACTTGTACATATATATATATATATAAATTTTTTTTACAAATAATTTAAATATAAAACATTTAAAAACCCTTTTTTATTCCAGGCACCTATTAATATCACCGGAAACAGGCTTCCCTGAAATATGGGGTAGAAAATTCTGTTCTTGAGCACCCTATAAAAATGGTAAATGGCTGTTAAAATTAGTAACTCTGATCCCTGCATTTATGGATTTTCCATAGAAAATTAGTAAGTCCAATGTCTGGCTTTATACTTTTTCCATAGAAAATGGGGGCTTCTTTTTAATTATAGGAATGTCATCATACATTTGTCCAAACCCATAGAACGTACAACACGAGGAGTGAGCCCTGATGTAAACTATGGACTTTGGGTGATAACAGTGTGTCAGTTCAGGTTCATCAGTTGTAACTGAGGCACCACTCCGGTGTTAGGATGTTGATGATGGGATAGGCTGTGGGTATGTGAAGGCAGGGAATATATAGGAACCCCCTCTACTTTCCACTCCATTTTGTTGTGAGCCTAAAACTGCTTCAAAAAAGAAAGTTTATTAATTAAAAAGAATTCCAGTTGAGCGTGCTCTTTCCATGAGTGCTGTATACCTGCTGGGTATACAGCGAGTATCACGAGAACAACAGAGACAAAGGAACAAGACTAGGTAGTAAAAACAAGACAGCAAATGACTGTCTCAGTATTAGGTTTGGGTGTGAGATACCCAAAAGAATGGAGGCTTAAACAGGAACAGTGCATTTCTTTCTCACGTAAAATCCTCTCTGCTCTCATCTTTCAAATGGAGATGATTACAGTATTTACTCATTCGGTAGTAGGAAGATGCAATGAGCTAATGTATGAGAACTTCTGACCAAGGGGGAAATCCTGCTTTGGACTGAGTAGCGCCACGGCTGACTATGCGAAGAGAACTAGAATATTTTCTCCTGCAATCTGCTGTTGTTTCCCACTCAAGGAAAACATATATAGAAATTATATGAGGCAATACTAAAAGTAAAAAAAAAAATTCCCATTATTTTTTTAAAAAAGTAAACCTCTTAGCACAGTCACTAGCATATAATAAATACGTCTTTTATCACTATGATCACTATCATCCTTTCTCCTCACTTCTCCACGCCTGCCTTGCCCCCTCATTCTTTTGATTCTGCTTAGATGGAAAATGAAGTACCTGAGTGATGATGTTCTAATCCAGTTTCTAATTTTCTTCTAAATTCTCAAGTCTCTTGATAGTTGGTTTTGGAGGAAGGGCAACCAGAGAGAGATTAGTGGCAAAAAGAAAGTGGTAGAACAGCGATTTAGAAGTATCCCATGGGGGTGAGAGTTTGGTTAGCTTTGTGGGACCTAGCGTTTCCCATTATTTAAAGTGTCTATTGTCTATTTTATTTTTGTTTTCTTTTTTTTTTAATTTTTAATGTATTATTTATTTCTAAAAGAGAGTGAGATAGCGTGAGCAGGGGAGGGTCAGAGACAGAGGGAGGTACAGAATCCGAAGACAGGCTCCAGGCTCTGAGCTAGCTGTCAGCACAGAGACCGACGTGGGGCTTGAACCCACGAACCGTGAGATCATGACCTGAGCCGAAGTCAGACGCTTAACTGACTGAGCCACCCAGGCGCTCTGTCTATTTTATTTTTCAATAGAAAAAAGTTACATATAATATTATATTAGTTTCAGGTGTACAACACAATGATTCAACAATTATATGCATTACCATGTGTTCACCACAGTCTATCATCTGTATGAAGTGATGAGAACATTTAGCTCCTGCCAAGCTAAACCATGCCCACATCTTCCACTGTGGTGATAATGCATCTAGTAGCTAGATGGCTGGAGGCTGGGGGGGAGTCAGGGACAGTGTAGAGGGCCCTTCATGCCAAGCCCTTCAGGACAGGATTAAGATCACATTGGATGTCAGCAAGGACCAGCTGTGCCCCCAGTGCAGTGACCCAACCTAAACCCCCTCCTCATCTGGGAAATAGAAAAGATGACGTGACTAGGCTTAAAGATGAAATCAGTGAGAAAACCTAGAACCCAGATTTTAGGGTTTTGGCCTGGCAGCAGAACAAGGGCGGAGCGGAGGCTAAGTGGAAGTGAGTACAAATAAAGAAAGGTCCACTTGCAGCTTGTAGGCTACTGTGGCTAGCAGAATTTATACTCAGCATATTGTGATAGTTTTTAGGAATATAAATTGTGAGCTGAAACTTGCTGGACTTGCTGTGTGCCAGGCCCTGTTCTAAGTGCTTTATGTAAGGGATTTTGTCGAATTCTCACCGTGATCCTGGCAGGGAAGTACCATGACTCACTCTTCATAGAGAAGGGAACTCTAATGGGTTCACAGAAATGAAGTGACAGGCTCAAGCTCACAAAATTGGCAAATGAGTGGCTGGTTTCAAATCCAAGACCTTCAAGTCCTATGCCCCTAACTCTTAGTCATACTCTTCCTTGGATCCACCACTTTTAGGATATCTTGCCTTCCATTGTGGTTAGTTTGAGCACATCTTACTTTTCCAGCTAGATTATAATATTCTTGAGGGCAGGAGCATATCTAATTTATCTTGGAAAACTTTTTATTGAGGTATAACTTGCTACCACAAATAGGAAGTATGTATAATCACCCAAATCAAGATATTTAGAACATTCTAGCCCAAAGAATTTCCCCCGAGCTTCGTTTCAGTCAAAATCGTGACTATTCCTATTTCTCTACCATAGATTATGTTTGCCTGTTCTTGAATGTCATATAAATAGAATCATACAAATATATCGATATTTTGTATTCTTACATGACTTAGCATACAGTTATTTGGATTTTGTTAATGTGATCAAATGTTGAATAAATGTTTAAGGAGTGCATGGAGGGCCCTTACCCTTGGAAGTACACTAAAATCTTCATAAGTATAAATCTATATTTAAATCAGTGAATAAATATAACATATACTCACATGTGTTCACATATATATTCAGTAATATATATGCACACATATAGGATACAGGCATTATATATAGTATATGCATCAAATATATAATATACATGTGTATGTGTA